TGCTGCAATGTGATTTACACCAAGCTCGAGCCCAGGATCATTTTGGCTCTTTGTCAGCGGTATAGTCGCCAAATGGTCGACTCGAGATTGGATTTACACTATATCTTTACCTGCACATGTAGAATAGCCGCTGACCAATTGTTGTTTTGATAAAGATGGACCTCAATCATGGCGGAGTTCGAGAGGAGTATCAAGAAATTCGCAGTGTTTTTAACAATGGAAGGGACCATTCTGGTATTACATCCGTCCTATTTGATTCTCTTGAAGAACTGGTTTGGACGGGGAATCAGTCGGTGAGGAAACCTCTGATTTGAATGGGTAAAAATAATGAGTGCTAGCTTCCAGCAATTATACTTTTTAGTAAAACCGTGATCTAGAAACTGTCAAAACTCCATAAAAACCATGTACAATGCCTGAAAGAAGTGCCTATTTTTTGTCGTTTTTAAGATGAATGATTTTGTGGGATGCGTCGATTATTACTTAAATCAATTTTCTTACGTTATTGTTTTATTCCACGTATTGTGGCAGCTGTCAAAAAAGTATAAAACTCAGTCTAGAAACTTACATTAATTGAGTATCATCATCTTTGTTCCATTTGTAGTTAGTTTTACCACAGCTAGCCATCTTCATGACTGTAGAAGGCAAGGAAGGCTGTATGCAAAGATTCTGATATGGGTTTTATTCCAATTCTGACAATGGTCATTGCAGGTGGCCAAATAACATTCATTTATAAAGTTTTCCATTATTGTTACAGAATATTGATAACTTATAGGCATCTTCATAGTTGCATCTAGTTTAAATAAAAAACATAGGGACCATAGGCCTGATTGTCTTAAATATCCTGTAAAACTATTGTTAATATTGTGGTTTAACTCAGCATAGCTCTTAATTTCAAACCTTATTTTTCATGAAGGGTTACTTGACCTCTTATTTTGGACCAGAACTTCAAAAGTACACATCATTTAAAGTTCATCATGGAGAAATCCGTCACATGTTAGTCAATGATCATGGGATACTGTCTCTGTCTAGTAACAAATTATGCTTCTCCGCTCGTTCTGGACTTAGAATCTTTAACCTGAGGTGAGCAATAATGAATTCTACCTTTGTGATTGAAAATAACTGTATTAATGCAAACCGATTAAGAGAGCCAGAGAGAGTCAATGACCTTGAATTTTTGTGCTATCAAGAAAATTGTAAGGAAATTTACTTATGATCAGTTACCAACAGCTTCATATATGTGAAATATGTGGACACTTGAAGGTTTAATTACTAAATAAACAGACTTAACTGGCTTGGCTGGTGGAAGTTTGAATAGCATGTGGAATTTATACAGTTCTGTCTACCTCTTGCTTTCATTTCTCCTTTTTTTTATGTAGATACTGATGAGGGTCCCTTGGGTTTCTGCTGAATACGTGTGTTACCTCTGACCTTTTCCCTTGAAAACAATGATGTTTAACACTAAAGCAAAACTAATCTGTTTACTCCCTTCCAAGGGACACAACTGCTGTACATGTATGATGCCAAAATAGGTTTAGAACCTCTATTTGTTATTCATCATTCTTATTTTTTAGTAAAGCTGTGACTTGTTTTATTCTAATCTGAATGTATTTAAATATCTGCAGTGGGTCTGATCTGTCAGACATGCAGTGTATGTTTCAAAAAGATGAGACACACTTATGGGTTGCTGGTCACCAGGGATTAATGGTAGATGTTGACTTGAGAAAAGGAGTCATTAGTAAAACGGTAATGCGTTGGAACAGGCTTTTATTCATTTTACTGTTAAATATACCATTTTGCACAAAGTGTCATCATGATAAAAACTTTTTGAGTATCTGATGGATTTTCTTAAATTTGTTTGATTGACAGAATAGTGTTACTAGCATGCTTTTCCTTACCTATTGAAGACAATACTCTTTTTTTTTTTTTATTAGATTGAAGTTGATCCTGGTACTGTTGTGATGAAACAGTCTAATCGTTACCTCTGTTGTGGTGATACATCTGGCAAGGTCTGTTCTAAACCTTACTCAAAGACATATAGTTAATCATAGGGCAAATATTAAAGAGAACATAAAACTTTATGGTGTGAGGAAAACTCATGGCAATGTCAGAAATACTTTTAAATTTGTACAAGGATGATACTGCATGTGAGAAATAAGAAATCAGGATTTAAATTTACACTTTTTGTCTTTGTTTAACAGGTGCGGCTAAGGGATCCTTCCTCTCTGAAGTCTGAGCATGTGTTAGAAGCACACACAGGAACCCTGTCAGATTTTGACGTATCAGGAAACCTTTTGGTTACTTGTGGGTTCTGCTCTAGGTGTGATATATGTCTGTTATTCCATATACTCTAACACTTAAATTGTTACTCTAGGTTGTCTTGCTGTAAGAAAAAATCCTATGATAATTTCTTATTCAATTTTTTCTTGTTAGAATGGGACATTTAGCAATAGACAGATTTCTCATGGTGTATGATCTTAGAACACTGAGAGCTATTCCACTTCAGGTAAAATATCTTATATGCAGATGATTTACTATTATTTTGAAATCACTTGAATGTATGCTTGAAATGTTCAGCTTAGAAAATATCCAACCCCATACACAGGGATTTTTGTGGTGACTGTAGCTGACATTAGTCAATCCTTTTCAGTAATACCCTCACCTGTAAAACTGCACCATAGGATTGAATGTTACCTTGACCTCATCAAGTAAGATATGAGTAACTAGGAAATTGAAATTTTGTTAAATGGCTACCTCTTTAAAAAGAAGTTGATTTGCATGGAAGCATGTTGCCTGGGAGAACATCGAACAATGTCAAACCCAGCAATGTCTTCAATTGGTGTGATCAGTTGCAGTTTCCAATAAAATGATTATCAATTCATCTTTTTCATCCATTCCCTCAACTAAAATACCTGCACACACCTAATGAGAATCCTTTTCTACATCAATATCTTGACTTCCCCATTAAAAAGTTTAAAACATCCAATCAACAAGGATTAAATTGTGGCTTATTATAACTTGTTACCAATCCTGATGTTACTGTGAAAGTTTGTTTGCATGCGATTGAATATTATGTCTATTTCACTGTTAAGGTTGCCATTGATCCATTGATGTCAGTGTGAAAGTTTGACTGTATGCATGCTATTAAATATGTGTCAATTTCACTTTTAAGGTTGCCATCGATCCATTGATATTGAAGTTTGTTCCTGCATTTACATCAAGAGTAGCAGTGGTTTCTCAGGTCTGTTCAATTTTTAGTTGAGTCATAGGTTTCTACCTAAGTTACATAGGTTGAAGAAAGTTTTTTTGGCTCAGAGGCACTAAGCAAGGGCTCTGAGAAAGAAACTCTTGCAGGGGTTATCTGGCCCACTATATGAAAATTATTTAGTTTTGTGCACTTTAAGTGTTTGTTTGAAATAAAATGTAATTGATTATTTTGTAATTGGCATAACATAGATGAAGTCATTGCCAAAAGAAATAATTAAAAGTCAAAAAGCAAAGCAAAAGGTGCTGCAATTGAACAGCTTGTTTTATTTGTGTTTTGATCTTCAATTATGTTTCTGAATAACACTGTCTGTGAAATATCTTAAATAAATGCCAAAATGCATAAAGGTGAACTTCTGTGAAGTTGTTTCAAGGAGATATCTTTTACAGGCAATGTCCATCATGATAGTAAATTGTAACAGATATAAAAAACACCCTTCGTGAAATGGACAAAAGAGATGATAATGTTAAACAAGCAAAACATGGCACTGATGATGATCACCATCCTTAAATTTGATAAAAAGTTTTATGAAATGCTTTTTCTGCACTAACCTTTGAGTTTCATTTGATCAGTTTTTCTTGTTCATTAACATTTCTCACTTAAAGTACTCTCCTTCCAGATTTTTTGTATGTTCACAAACAACAGTTCTTACTATTACCATGCTTAGGTATATTATGTACTGAACCTTTCATTGTCTAAATTTATTTTAGAATGGACAATTTCAGCTTCATGAACCAGGTGGTCTTGTGACGCAGTCATCAATGATGGTGTACCATGTTAACACTCATGGCTCTTTATGCACCACTTTTGACATTTCTGCAACATGTCAGACCATGGTATTTGGAGATGCAGGAGGTAGCTTGTGCATTTTAGACCCCATGTGAGAAATAAGCATCACAGAGTTCTGAGCTGCCACTGTTTTAGTTGCCATTGGCAATCAGGAAAAAAACATTGATGGTGAAACAATTCACCAATCTGGCAACCTGTGTTCAGCAGTTATGCTACAAGTTGTAATGTTTTATAGTTATGGTGTGAACTGTGTAGTCAAAGGGAGATAAACATTCCATCAAACATTTCTTAATTGACATGCTCCACTGTTTTCTTCGATGAAAATTTGTCTCTTTCATTGATTGCCCAAGCATAAGCCTGGAGATGTTGTGATGAAGTGTTAGTAAGCAGTTAGAATGATGTGTAGAGTATTTCTGAAATTGTATTCTGTTCTAATACAAGTTTTCCTTGTTTACTCTAACACCAGGAAATACACATCTCTGGGGGGACACTCAGGAAAAAGACATTTTGTTTAACATGTATTCAAGGGAAACAGAATTTGCTGCTCCTGTAAGTGCAAGAGACTGCTTCCATTATTTTAGTCATGTACTGTAGTCAGAATGAGAAAACAGAATAATATGTCTCTTCATGTACATTTGCTTGCAGTGCTTCATTCATTGGTCTCTCACACATTAATTGTCCATCATACATTTTGATTGACATTTCATTTTCCTTAATCCAATATGTTTGACAGATTTTAGACTGGTGTTGTCTCACATTTCAATTTCTAACCAAGTGTAATTTTTGCAGTGTGTCTCAATTTTTAAACAGAACCCCGTATTCACCAAAATTGCAATCACCCTTATCTAAGTATATGATTATATTGTTGGTTAGTTGTCAATATATTGAATAAGGCATAAAAGAAAAAGACTGCTTGTTGCTGCTATTTAATGTAGGTTTTAACTCATAGTATGGAGTTGTTTGTGTGGCAGATTCCTCATCTTCATCCTTTGGCCATCGATGATTATTCTATTCCACTCTCCACTTTTCCTCTTCCTATGCCAAAGTGAGTTGTTGTGTTTGTTGCAGTGTGGGATCTTTTTGGTTTTAAAGTTTTATGTGCGTGGGTGCGTAGTCTTGAGTCAAAGGAATTGAAACTAAAACTCTTTAAACTAGGGAATCACAACGCATACTTTCATTTATAAGTAACAATTATACAAAGACACCAGTTTTCTTTTGTGTCTTGCTATAGTCTTAGTTTGATTCGGACTACTCTTGTGTTCATGTATATTACTGCCCCAAAACATGCACTTTGATCAACATCAGAGTTAACTATTGAGATCTTGGATTTAACATTGCAATGACCTCATGGAGAAATTAGCTCAATTTACTTGTCAAAATGGTCTCTTGAGACCTGGTAAAAATGTGAATGAACATGTCATGAACATAATAAAGCATGGCATAAGGGTCTGTCATATTTAGCAAATGTTACCCTCAGTGATCCACAATTTTTCTCCCCTGTTTCCTGTAAAACTTATCTATACCAAGGAGTCAACACCATTATTAAGAAGATACTAGGGTTCACAACACTCATGTGACAACATTTTTTCTCCACAGTGGTCCACTACTTTCTGACTGGCCAGCAGAAAATATGGTGTTTGGAGACAGGTACTGGTTGTGTGTTTAACCAACTATTTAAAATGTATTTGGTGTCCATGATTTACAATGAATTAGGGCAGTAAAAGTTATATGTTCCAATGCGGCTTCCTTTCCCTCCTCCTCTCCCTTCTCTTAGTTTGCTCTCATTACTTTCAGGTGTGTCTGTGACATCAATTTGATTGATAAGAAATATGTTGCTGAGTTATTAAGAAAAGCTTGTTAGCTATTGTTATATTGCCATCAGTTCCATTAAGTTCCATACAGAATGCTTCAGACTCTGCCTTTTATTCACAAGATTAACATTTCAGATTAAAATGTCAGGACAGCCAGATTTGTTCTAAGTCTAATGTGGCTGGATTGCTGTTGGCCTAAACTTTTTGTGGGATTTTTGCAACTCTTAAAAAATTGGTCTGTAGAGTTTTTTTATTATTATTATTATTATTATTATTATTATTTTAAAACTGAAATTTACCCATCTAAGCTGTAAACTCCCTACTTATTGAAGTGAGACCATCAAAATTTCCTTGTCTTCATTTTGTAACAGGCCTACTCCACCAATTGAACCTGAAATTCTCCGCACGATGGTTGTCAGGCATTTCATTGGTTATGCACCTAACCCCGGAAGCAGAAAACGTAATCAGGTATTTTTTATGCTAATTTGTATTTTACAGTATGATATTGATGATAATCATACTGATAAAGGTGATAAAGATCATACTATCATACTGATAAAGGTGATAATCTCTTTGTTATTTGTCAGTTTTGTCACCTTGTATCATTGTAGGTAGCATACCCGCTTAGAGATTTATCATTGAATTCCCAAGAGGAAGAAAACAGTGTGCCAGATTCACCCATGAACAGAGGTATTGTGACAGTCAGGATATCTGGAGGTCTCACCCCATTGCAACTCCACCCATTATCACCTTTGCAAATTTGCCCCCCTGTAGTTTTCCCCCACCTTTACCAGTTCCACCACTCCCCAAAGTCTTTCAACTCTTATCCTTACGGCAGAATGTATTCTGCTGAAATTGTAAAGAATTTTGATCAATATGAAATTTCAGAGCGAAATCATAACAAAGTGCTATAAGTATGCAAATTAGCAGCCTTGTTACTGCATGAGTGATCCAAAGCCACTACATTACTGTGGTCTTTATCTTGCTGGCTTGACACTATTTTATGTTAGTATCCGAAGCAAATTTAAAGAGTTAGTTTCATGAACAATCTAAACTAAAATGGCTTCTTAAGGAGCTAAAACTGATTCTAAAGTAAACATGTTGCTCAAAACATTTCATGATTTTGACAGAACTCGCAGGCAAGTAAAAGTGAGGGGAACTCACAGGCTAGATAAGGTCTGGGTAACCTTGCAGGCCAGTAAAGGGTGCAGGCGAACCCGCTTCACTTTAGGAGGCGTATTCGCAAAGGTGGTAGGGAGTAAACTAGCAATGGGTCCAAACTTCCTATTCCTCATCTATCCCTTTTAATATCATGAAAGGACCAGAAAAGTTTCCAGATGGGGATTATGTGTGTATTGGAAAGAGTGAGGATGTCACACAGCCTCGGTTGCTCAAGGCTTCACAAAAAAGGAAAAAGGGACAAGGCATTCCCTTTCTCCTTTGCAGGCATATGATGTGACGTTGGGTAGGAGAAGCTTTGAATGCCACAGTTTTTTTCCCCATTTCCATTCCTCTTGGTAACTTCAGTATGTATTAATTCATCTTCAACCTCCAGTTGTAGTTGTATCCAAGTGGTTTAGTATTGGTGTGCCTTTGCTGCATGCTTTGCTAGAAAGTCCTACATGTAATCTGATTGGCTGCCCTACCCGCTATCAATTCTGCGATAGATTATAAGTGCAATGACTGGCCTAACTGTGAAAGGTTGAAAACGAAATAAAATAAAACCAGGAGTAGGCTTTGTGTGGTTGTTAACTTTTGCATGACTATTAGATGTAAATTTAAAAAATTATAATATATTTTTTGATAATCTAACTTTTAATTAGTAATTAGAGAAACTTTGTTTTAAATCAAAGTGGACGTCTGTAAAAACTCTTAGCGTGAAACATGACTTTCTTGTCATTATCACTGTCACTGTTTTAACCTTACACTTTTACTTCTACTGATTGCCTTCAGATGATGATCCTGGAAATGTGATACCAAAGCACTACAGAAGAGTAGAGATCAAATACTCAAAACTTGGTGAGTTACATGCCCACTAATAGTGTTCTTTTTTTCCTGTCTCCTTTTTTTGTCTTTTTTTGCTCGTTTTTATCGTTTTTAAATAATCATTATTATTATTAATATCATTATTATTATTATTATTATTATTATTATTATTATTATTATTATTATTAGATATAGCAAATGATAAACAATTGGAAAATAGGACAGGCCATTATCCTTTTCATACATGATGGTAAAGCTCATTATCAGTTTGATTAAGTATTCTGTCCCGTTCAAATGTAATCTTTACTATTATGTCATTTCAGGCGTTGAAGACTTTGATTTCAAGCACTACAACAGGACATCATTTGCTGGTTTGGAGACGCACATTCCAAATGCTTACTGTAACGCCATGCTGCAGGTAAAAAAACTAAAACGGTAGTAGGCCTTCGGCATAGTGATATTTCACATTGTCTGAAGTCTTCTTGTGGCCTACGAGAACTATTTTACATCACTGAGAAAGGTAAATCTTTAAGATAAAGGATTATCAGATGGGTAACTCTAGAATGTGCGGATACCACGGAGAGATTCACATGGTTTGCAAATGATGCGTAGGTCAAGTTTTTGAAATTATACTTCAATAATACGGTTCAGTGGTGTTTACGTGCCTAACTTAGTCAGTTAGTCAGTCATTCAGTCAGTTTTCTGCCAGTCAGCGGTTGTCAGTCAGACAGTTTTATTCAGTTGTCCTCGAGAGCTATCGACGCCTCAGTAGTTTTCCTTGTTAGACTGGATATAAACGAATACAAGGGAACTAAGATTTGATTATTGGTACTCACCTCTTGGACTTGTTAGTCACTCAGGCACTAAGTGCGTTACTTCTACTTTTTTTTCCTCTTTAGCTCTTTTATTTCATTGAACCGCTTAGAGTGGGAATGCAAAACCATTTGTGCCATCGAGAATTCTGTATGGCGTGTGAACTTGGTTTCTTATTTCACATGCTGGACATGTCCTCTGGACAAACCTGCCAGGTGAGACAAGTCGTTTGCAACTGCATCTTTGCTCCATGACCGGGAGAGAGAGTATCTATATTAATCTTCAACTCAGTGGCATTTTTTGCAAGATAGGCTTGGTCTTCTTCCGGCACGAGAAAAATGGGGAGATCGGTACTTCGTTATCATAATTCATTGTGCATATGTTGTGGCACTGCAACTATTTCAACATTGTTATCCCTTTTGATGTGATGTCTGACAATGTTTTACAGAAAAAAATCTTAAGCTTAAAATTGCTACTTGTCTTTAGGTATCACTTTCCCAGATTTGTTGAAAAAGTTGTCTTTTTAATCTTTTCTTTGGTCATAAATATACATTCTAGCTGAGTTTTACCGGAGCTGACCGTGTTCTTGTCGGCTCGTAGGCCAATAACTTTCTCCGAGCTTTTCGTACCATTCCTGAGGCAGCAGCGTTGGGTTTAGTCCTGAACGATGTCGATGAGTCCTTTGGAAATGCTAACTTTCCTCGCTTGATACAAAGCTGGTTTAGATTTGTTCTTCAACAGATGCATCAGGTAGGTGTATTGCATAAAGGGTGTGAGTTTCTGAAGAAACTGTGGTGCTGTGTCGGTGGGAGAGTATAACAGGGTTCGTCATCCGGTCTGACGAAGGGCTAACGCTCAAGACTTCAGCTTTGAAACCCTTTACGGTGGCCAATTTACGTTATAAACTAAATTGATAATGGTAAAAAACCTAAGTGTATTGCAGTTCGTTTGCGGAACAAAGTCCGTTTACGCGGTCACGTTGTAATAACATATTCACCAAGATTGCCTTAATTCCTATAATCAAAATTGTAAATATTTAGAAATATCCTTGGTTCAAGTTAAGGTTGTGCGTTTTTTATTCCTCTCTCAACAGGACACTCTTGAACCACCTAACGTATCGGATGGAGAAAAGGACGATATACAGACTACGTGAGTACGAGAATGTTAAATATATGAAATGTTTCGATAGCTTTGTTCGTTTTCGTAAATTGTTGGAAACCCATTGGTTGACGGATGTGTCTTAACGGACTATATTGTGTAATTTTTGGACACAAACGAGACAAACAAATGCACTAACGGCTGTAGAATTATCACAGAATTGAATTTCATCTTTTCTCTACAAATTGGCTAGTGTGAAATCGTCCACTTCGACTAACCCGCTGCTGACAATTTTTCCTCTCACTATTTTTTAATCAATATATTCCTATGCGTACAAATGATTTCCTTCTTATTTTGCTATTGTTATATAGGACTGGCAAACCTCATCAGATGTCTTTAATTCAGCGACTGTTTGGATCAAATGTTCAGCTACTTAGTCGGTGTCGCTGTGGTAAAGAGTCCAAAAGAGATTCAACCACATTGCTGTTCAACTTAGAATACCCTGAAATGTGTGAAGGTAAGATGGCGCTGAGCTTCATTCAAATCGACTGAAATTATAGACAAGCGCATTTGAGGGTAGCTCTGATGTCAAATATTACCTTGTCTTCTCCCAACAGAAAGCTTGCTCGACAGAAACATATCTAAATTGCAACAATGTCAGCGTCCACGTTGTTCCTCGCTATTTCAATGCTTTTAGTACGCTTCAACGTGGTTCCTCTCTATTTCTTATTAATTATTACAAAATAAGCCATAGTAACGATGCCTGGTTAATTTTCACTGATTTATTTTTACTAAATTTTTGATGAAAATTCATCGTGATACGTTACGTTGTTTCAATACACAGATCTGCTTCAGTTTCGAACACCTAGTTAATGCCCTTGCCTGTTTTATTATCTTGATAACGTAATTTTCTTCTATTTGAGATTTTATTCTTAAGTTTGACTTTAATTTTGATTTACTTTTAACATAAACATAACTGTAATTTTAAAATTTTAATTTATTTGAGTATTTGAAAACAAAGTAATAATGTTCCTTTTATCGTCTGCCCAGAAAAGCAACAGGGTCCAGTGAGCTTCGAGTCAGTGATATCGTCGAGTTTGAGCCGTGAACAGAGTATGCAGGCTTGGTGTGATCAGTGCTCAAGATATCAACCCACAGTAGGTTTTACTTGACACACTTACATGTGTGGGTAATTGTGTAAAAGAATGCAGATACCTAGAACTGTAAGCTTTTAAGCAAGTGGAATCTGTTTTGTTACTTGATGTCTCTCAGTGATCAGCATCGTGTAGTATGCTTCCATACATTTGCAGTTGTAGTACATTTTATAATCGTATTTTGTTTCTCAATACATTTTTGATGAAGATAAAATACAGTCTGGATGCGTTTAACTCACTTTTTAACTAAAATGTACGCTATGAAGTAACTAATAGGAAACGTTGCCTTGTCTCAAACTTTCTTCGATATAGGTTCAAAGTCGCGAAGTTAAGAATCTACCAGACATCTTGGCTCTAAACTGCGGTATGGAGCATGCCAAAGAAGTTGAATTTTGGAAAATACAGCAACAGGTAAATGCAGTTGAACCCAGTAAGAGACAACCTGGCTAGTTCCAAAGAAGTGTAAACCTAAGAGACCGTTAGACATATTGGAAGCCAAGTCGTTGTACAGCCACAACATTGAAATGTAGAAATTAATCTGCTACTTTAAACGCGCTTTAAGACTAAGTCATTTGAAGTTATTCGTGGATGACCTCTACTAACCCAACGGGTAACCCCTGATATTGAAGTAGAATAATGCGAATTGGTCTCGTGCTCTTTTCTGATAAACAACTCCGAAAGTGACAGTGGTCGTCTACAAAGCGTTATCGTTGACGGGAAGATCCTTTTACAGGGATTCACCAAAAAAATGCTAGAGCAGAGAGGAGACAGCGATTGTTCCCCTAGGTGAGGTGCACACCAGAGAGGGTTCCTTGTGAGCATAATCATCCACAATGAAATCAAATGAGTTAAATTCCTGTATCCTCTGCAAATGTCACCGAAATCGTATGTTCGTAACTTGAATTATCGAAGCACCCAAACTTAACTTTGCACAACACGTGGATCTCGGTTAACTTCAAAAGCATATTTAAGTTTGAAAATAAAACATTTCTTCTAGTTACTAGATCCGCCAAAGCCCGAGGAGAAGTCCACTTCCCTTCCATCTTCCGGCCGTTCTTGTCGTTATGGCAACGCGTGCTCCAGACCAGACTGCAAGTTTAGACACGATAGAGATGTTGCATCGGAAAGTGGGTATGTGCAATCAAACATAGAATAAGTGGGCGGACATAAAATCTTGCTATAAAACGTAGTAATTTATAGGAGGATTAGTTATGAGTTGTCAGAAGCTCCCGACAGATGGCGGGATAGCGAAGTAAAAGGTACAGAAAACAGGAAGTTTTTCAAACTGCCCCTTTTCCTTAATTGTGGGCTTGTCGGTGTTATTTATGACCGCTAGCAGTCCCCCTTAGACAATAGAAAACTTTGTGTCGCCCATTAACTCTGAATCTTAGACCACCTTCTCATGTGTGTGTTGAAATTGTACGATTGAGATGTTCGAGGCGCAACGTGGCATTAAACAGTGAAAAACTTTGTGATATACGAAAGTGCTGTTTCAGCAAGAACTCTGTGGACCGAAATGGTTTTGCTTTAATTTGAAATTCAGCCTATTTCGTTGCACCTATTTGAGAGTATTCTGAACTGTGCATTGACTGATCTTTCTTATTTTACTGACTGGAGTGTCTTTTCACTGGGCGGTGGGTGGGGTTCAAAACGGTTCAGTTCCAGCCGGACGAAGAAGTGCAGTTCTTATGTTCCTTGCCATTTCACTTTCACTGATGTCCTGTTCTACGAGTGATTAAGTTTATTTTTCACTAGGCGGGTGGAGGTTCCCGAGGAAGAAAGACTTAATGGTTGGGTTCCACTCTCGATAATGATATCGTTTGACTCCGGTAAAATGCAAGTGACCAAGATTGATGAGGTACATCTACTTTCAAGGTGTAAATTCTTCGTGTTGTTATTATTTATTTTACTCTAAGGGTACGATATTGCAGCATCTTACATAATGAAAAGATCAATCCTCTGCAAATCTTCTCAGCCTCTCGTGCACCAAGCAATTTTTTGTCTTCTGTTACTCTCAATACTTGATGATAGCCACCAACCTTTGTCAAACAAAATGCAAGCCGGGGAAAGGTTAACTGAACCTTGACAAGTCTTTTTGATAAAATCTCCTCTCCTTCTTCCACCAGATTAGCTGTTTAAACTCAAATATTAGAGTTTCTGATGCTGGTGTTGTACTGAAGAAATGTAAAATGGTTTCCGTGTTTACATAGCCTGATGTAAACACTTGGGAGGTTGGAAGAACACGAGATAAGCGTAGGAAACCACGACACGAAGCGTAGTGGTTTCCAGCTTATCGAGTGTTCTCCCAACCTCCCAAGTGTTTACATGAGGCTATGTAAACACGGAAACCATTTTACATTTCTTTTATAAAATAACTAATGAAAGAGGAACGAAAACCGTGTTTACATACGCTGATGTAAAATGGTTTTATGGACCAATCAGAGCGCACGTACTATTTGAATTATTTTCTAATTCTATTTGTTTGATAAAGCTTTTCAAGAAGCTTCGTTGAATGGGGGTTTGTGTTGGTGTAACTGGTGTTCTCACCATATTTTGACGCTTTTTGCGATCTATTACTGAACAGTTGCACGTGAAATCTATTTGTTTTATATAATAAGTAAAAACCAATCAAAACGTGTGTACCCTTCAGCTTCTTCTACAAGTTTATGTATTTCTCTCTTTCTTTTGTTTGAATTTTTACTTTTTCAGAATCAGAAAGTAAGATGTTCGGAAAATGAGGTCGTGTACGATCTGTTAGCAACTGTGGGCCATGTGCAGGACTTCAAATCGGGTGGAAACCTGGTGGCTCACATTCATGTTGGTAATACCTACCACAGTCGTAAAGAGGTTCGGGCGAGTCTTAAATAATCCCTAGTTGTTCGTGTCACATGAATGTAGTGGTAAATCTTTTTTCACGTTTGGACTGAAACATTTTGTGCGAACTCTTTTTAAGAACAAAAAAATACTTTTTTTTCTGCATGAAATCCTAGTAAGTTTCTGGAGAACCAGCATCAATGTTCCTGTTCTTTTTTTTCTTTTTTTCTTTTTTCTAGGGCGTGACATGCAGTCAGTGGTACTTATTTAATGATTTCGCCATCACTCCTATATCACCAGTAAGTTACAGCTTTTTGGTTTAATGATATTGATGACAAGTAATATATTTCAGTTGAATACGATTTAAAGAATACATCGTACAAATAGTGTCATCTGCGGATAAAAAAAATACGTAGATATGTCGCTTATTCTCTTTTCATGAACGTATTCTGAGAAGCAATCATTGGATTGTCTTACGGGCCGGAAAACGCAGGGCGACACGTCGTTGGGACAAGTCACGGGGCAAGTCTCAGCGACAATTCGCTTCGTGAGAGAATAACCCTTAATTAAGCACGAATTTTTGGTACCGCAACAATGATCGGAGTGATAGAGGGAGTAACGACTTGCTTTGGAAGCAACACACGCGAGGCGTTTTGACGTGGAGACCAGCCATAGCGACTTTGACCTTCTGTGGCCTAGCCTCCATAAAATGACGTGGTATTTATATTTCTGCAGAACGATGCCGTTCATTTTTCGTTAGATTGGAAGTTACCATGTGCTGTTGTTTTTACAAGGAGAGACATAAATGGTCGTCATGAAACTGCAAGTAAGTAGTAGATATGATTCAGTTTGTTTGATGTGATTCATTTCAACTCATTTATATTTTCCCTTGTCACAATAGTCCGTCAAAGAATCGATGACAGCGTTTTGTATCAGGACGTGTCCCTTGTCAGAAGAGGCAGCGTGTCTCGTGATTTCACCCCCCTGGGACCTGATGAGCTGCCGAAAGAGGGAGATCTTGTGGGGCTAGACGCAGAATTTGTAACACTGAATCAGGTGTGAACCATTCTGTGTAATTCTTGAAAACAGATCTGTGGGATTCTTGTACCGCTCAAGGTCTTTGAAGGGCTTGAAGTTGTCTTTATATTATTTACAGTCATTGTGAACACATTTATTTATTTATTTATTTATTTCAATCTCTGCAGTTGGGTTGTTCGAAAGCCGATTGACACCAATCATTTGTTAACTACTTCGTAAAAACCTGCCCGTTGCAATCAATTTGAATAAATGCTCAGAATGCTTTGAAAAATCCACATTGAAAATTTCGTAACCCAAGTGTGACTGCAGTCCTCACTTGTTGTTCTTAAGTTCCTTAACATTTGAAGTCAGTTGGGAAGTTCTACCGTGGTTGAAAAACTAAAAGCTGTGTAATTCCCTGCGTTTTTGCTATCACTAGGAAAGCAGTGAGTTCGTCACTGATCGAATCCAATTTTCCTGACGCATTGACAGGTTGGGGGGGCGGGGTATGTGCACATGTGGGTACTCAAGCAGAACCTTATTGAGCAGCGTGTTAATTTTTTAGGAGGAAGCAGAGATAAGAAGTGATGGCACCAGGTCAACCATAAAACCAAGTCAGATGAGTGTAGCGCGTGTTACCGTCGTCCGAGGGTAAGAATGCCATGGTCGTTACGTCTTATTACCTTCGCGTGTATTCCCATTGCATGCATTGAAGAACAGCAATTAGAATTAGAGTTTCAAAAGACTACTTTGGATTGTCCATACTAACATACACTGATCAGTGATGTGACATTCTTGTAAAGGTACCTTACTTAGTGTTGATTTAATTTACGACCCTACCTACCTCTTTTTATGGAGTGTAAATATCAGCTGCATGGCGGCTGATCCCTATTGAGCATTTTAACGAAAAGTGCTCGTTCTGTTCTATCTTGAATTTTCGTGTTACTCATATTTTCATTTTTTCTGCAGGAATGGGCAATTGACTGGTGTACCATTTATTGATGACTACATTTCAACCACAGAACAGGTTAGTCTCATTTCTTGCAGATATTGGGATATTGATTTCAAGCTATTGCCATCTAAACAGAGGGCTACATCACCTTGAAACTTTAGCTTACTGGAAAACAGTTATTTGACGATTGTCTAGTTGACATTTTCTTGCTAAAGCTTAGTGATTAGTAATAAGAGTTTCTTCCCTGACATAAACCCACGACATGAATGGCCTGACGTGACGCAAAAAGCGTGAAGAACACGATTCGCTATCTATTCAGGCTTACTCCTAAAATCCTCAGTTAGTTTGTCTTCCACGGCATGGCGTGATGCGTCAAGTCGCGAAGAGTGTGAAGAATAAGAATCGCAGTCTATGCAGGCGTCCGGCCAGAAAGGTTTGGCAAGGAGTAAGGTCGCTTGATTGTTTCCTATTTGTCGCTGTTCCTCGCACATGTTTAAAGGAGCTAAGAAAATAGGAGGTTTAAAATGGACTTTATGATGATTCGATCTTTGCCTTACAGGTTGTTGATTACCTAACCAAGTTTTCAGGTATAAAACCAGGGGACTTGGACGCAACAATGTCTTCCAAACATCTCACCACACTTAAAACTACTTATCGCAAGCTGAGGGCTTTAGTCGCAAGAAAAGTGAAGTTTGTTGGTCATGGCCTGAAGAAAGATTTCCGAGTCATAAACATATTGGTACGTTATGAGTATAGAGAGGATATGATGTTGTTTTACGGCGCGACAAAATCATGACCCATTTACCTATACACTGCCATACTAAACCTAGCCAAAACTAAGTTTTGTTACTGATGGTGTTCTTATTTATTAACATCTTTTTACGTCTATCTTTTTTTTTGCTTTTGGTTTGCTGATACATGTTGTTGTCATAGTTGCTGTTGTTATGTTGTTGCTGTTCTTCTCCTTCGTCGTCGTCTTTTACCAAGTAGGTAAATTTGTGTTCTATAAACGAGTTGTTGTACTTTCTAGGTTCCAAAAGAGCAAGTATTTGACACTGTGGAACTCTTTCATCTGCCACGTCAACGATTCATTTCCTTGCGATTTTTGGCTTGGTATTTTCTAGGTAGATCTATGAATACTGTAAAACTTTGTTGCCTGATGTCTTTTATTTGACTTATACGACCAACTGACTGACTTTGGTTTAACGATTGATTTATTGATTGAGTGAGTAACCAGTTGATTGATTGAAATATTTATCTAGTCATTTATTGGTTGATCGTACCACGGCAATTTAGCTCATCATTGAGTTCTCAGTTGCCCAGTGGTAGAGCAACATAGCGCGGGATCCCAAGGTCTGAGGTTTGACTCCGCCTGGAGGACGCAGACTCTCTTTGTCCCACGCTTTGCCCCACGCTCCAAGACAAAACGAATAAAAGATTCCTTTATTCCATAACTCAACTGGATACGAGCCAATTTTGTAATTCTACTAGCTTCGAATTTATAATTGTCCTTAACATTTTATTTGTCATGTTTACTGCAGGGTTAACAATCCAGTCCGAAACTCATGATAGTACTGAAGACGCCAAAACAGCCTTACAACTGTACAGGAAATACGAAGAGTTGTCTTCAAAAGGAGAGTTTAGAAAAGTTTTGAAACAGCTTTACGAGGATGGAAGAAAGTCTGGATGGAAAGTTGAAGAAAAGGATTATTAATACCTCTAATGCCTTTTAGTTTGGAACGAGATGAGCTGTTTTTTTTTCAGCATCTATTAACGACGACATTCCTCATGGCTCAGAACTGTTTAGATATTTACAAGATATTAAATTATTTATCAAACGCATCAGCTAGCTGTTATTTCGTGCTATCGGAGTTAAAGACATTTAGAGAAAAAAAAAGTTAGCACTTGACCCTACATTTAATAAAAAAAGGAATACTGGCTTGCGTGGAATAACCCCGGTTTCTTTGTGTGTGCGTGTGTGTGTGTGTGTGTGTCGTTTTGCTTGTTGTTTTATATCTTTGTATATATTCTAATTTTTTTAGTACTTTTTAAGAGTTACTGGGATCATAGAAAATATATCATAAATAAGATTGAGATCATAATTGCTCTCTCGGCGATGAATATGCGTTATAGCAAGTGTGGTGCTAAGATGTCTGAGTATAGCGTTTTTGTTTCTCGATCTCGATTTGTTTCAAAAACATTACTTTAGGCTCGTCTTAGTTTTCTATTGGCGACTGTCTTCAAGAATTAAACGGTTGATCTACAAACTTTTTGAAAACTTTTTCCCCGAAAAGGGGAAGAAACGGGAAGACGACTGGGTGATCGATTCCTAGAAGACCACCGTGACGTAGAAAAGGATGACAAAGATGCATCTAAGCCAGTCGCAAGACACTTTATTCTCCCAATCATTTTTTAAAAAATATGGCATTCTGCGACCTTTCCTTACATCTAGGCTGTTCGGAAAGCCGCGAATCTCTAGAACTAAAGTTAATCTTTCAAATCGGCGGTCTAAGGCGTCCTCTTACTCTCTGCCGTATCAACGAAAGCTTTTAATTTGGCTATTTTTTCCTTGTCTTTTTCACGTTACTGTGTTCCCACTAATAGCGTAACTCAATCTCCCTGTACATAAATCACACATGTATAGGACTTGAAACGTTAGCTTCGGAAACTCTCCACGGTGGCTACTTTACTTGATCAACTCAAGTATTAAAACCAAATTATCTTGTGATCCTTCCCTCTGAACACAGTTCCTTGAGAGACTTTCTCCCTTTCTTTATCTTTAAACTTACATAAGTTCTATTTTTTTTCCTGGGACAGTTTGTTCCCATTCTATCACAAGAGCGAAAGGCTTATCCCAGCATTCTAAGCGGTCACAAAATAGTGACTCACCGTTACAACTTGACGTGTTTGCGTGATGAACGAAATTATGGAGATCCATATCCATAGAACGATATCATGCCTCATTATGGCTGTGCTTTTTTTGTTATGGGACTATTCTTCAGGTAAAATCTATGGAATATTCAGCACTGCTTGTTTTATTGGCGCAATAGCACAATACTTAATGATGTATATGTTTCACCTTGCAGCTGAAGGCCCACGAGTCCGTCTATTCTCTGCTACAGACTTCATGCTTTTCGATAGCAATGACCTTCTTTATTTTGAAATCTTACAACCAAAGAACATAAGTTATATCTACAAGGTTAAACCAGCGAAAAACTTCGGAACCAAATTTGTAAGTAATTCAATAATTGATGTCAACGAACTTTTTCTTAATTATAAAATCTTAATTACTAGCTGAGTCAGCCCAAATGCAGACGCAGTCATTTTATTTATCACGTTCCCAAGAGAGTCTGAGCTTGTTTTCACCTGTGCCACCGGTTTAATCAGAAATGTAACGTCCTAAACCTCCTTCACTTTCTACGTTTTCCCTTTCAACTTCCTTGCATACGGTTCGAGCCCTACTTTAATTTGCCTTGTAATAAAGTTGTCTTGGGTTAGTTTTTGTAAAGGTCCATGTAGTGGTTTAAAGGCATTCTCTGTACAGGTATGAATCACTGTAGAGAGCTAATCGTCAATCGATATCTTTTCACAAAACGCCTTTTAGCCCCTTAACTCCCAGAAGTGACAAACATTTACCTTCTCCCTTTGATATCCACTTGTTTTCTAGCAAACGGTTGATGAGAATACTCAAACTTATCAGGAATTTTATCGTGATCTTGGACCAAATTCTCGTAACTAATTTACAAGGAATTGTGTAGCAGCAAGAGGAGAGAATTAATAATCAGATCTTGGGAATTAGAGGTTTAAAGAACGTTCCTGTGCTTCATAATAACTGCTGGTCGATGGGCACTTTGGTGATGTACAAATTGACCCTGATATCAATGATTCCTAATGTTCACTGGTTTTCATCTTTTTCTGTTTCTTTTCAGGAATTAGAATTAGGCACTGTAAACCTTGTTGCTGCTGATCCTATTGATGCTTGTCATTCAGTTGACAATGGTAAGGCTCTGTGGGGGTCAATAGCCTTAGTTGAAAGAGGGTGAGTGAGTGCAGACTTAACAAATTTATTGGACAGGGTTGACTCTTTACATCTAACATCAGTATACATGTTCTCCACATTGTTCTCTATCAATTTCCTGAGACGCTGACAATGAGAATGTGTTTGATAATCAAAGGGTTAAACATGATGGTGAGATAATCAGGTTTAAATGTGCTATTTCCTGCAACATCTGACAACACTTCTACATGTTTGGGACTATCATTTATAGGTATAGTGTTACCAAAGGAGTGCCAGCAAGACTTATTTCTATCTTTGTAGCCAATCAGAGTTGATATTGAGAAACCAATGCTTAGTAAATGGAGAATACATAGCCTGCATTTAGTACTTAATGAGTTGTATATTTGTCTACATGTGAGTAGTGTTTACTGCAAGTTCTCCAAACTCCCCTCCGACTAATCCTTTGAGGCCACCAAGTCTGGAGTAAAGTGATGGGCCTGCCCCCCTGCTTATTACACTATCTCGTTGCATGGAGACTAATGCATATCTGATGCCTGTAAAAACATGAGTAACCTTATACTCTAGGGGTTGTTCCTTTGTCTCCAAAACCAAGACAGTGGAACATCATGGAGCTATTGCTGTATTTATATCAGACAATTTACAGTTTGACAATGCAGAATCTTTAGTGGACATGATCCATGATGGAACAACAAGAGAAGTCAGTATTCCTGCTGGATTCATCTTGGGATCTGATGGGTACTGCATTTTATTGATGTCATTACTGTCATTCACAAGTGAAATATTTAGCTTACCACAATGTTATTTTTTTTAATTTTAGATTATTTGTTTGAAAGAGGATTTAAATGATGTAACTATTTTCCAGTAATTCCAAGAGCTTAGTGACATTTTCATTTGTCATTATAACCATATATTTAAGAGTCCTCTTTTTTCAGAGTTTCAATAAATCTGTTTTGATAAGTTAGAGCCAATTTAAATTTGAAATAAGAAAGAAGGACTGCAATGAGGAGAGATTATGAACTAACTGTGAGGATTTGGTGCAAAGCAAAGGTATCACTATGTGGTTGTTGCAGCCTGGCTCTCCTGTGGCCCAGTAGTTTCTTTCCTTACCCATTCCCTCAGTTGGCCTTCTCAAGAATTTAACCAGTTATCCTACCTTTCATGTGTACTGGCATTTTTAGTTTGAAGAGCTCCTTATTTTAGCAGTACAGTTGTAGTTGTGTAAGACATCATTTGCGAAAACTCAGCTTTCATTTTTAAGGCACTGTTAACACTTACTTATAATTTTTCTCCATATAACCAAGGCATAATTTACAAGACTTCTTTAAAAGGATGCTAATGCTGACTTTCATTTTTATTTGGTGGTCTTTTACATCTGAATACTAATTAGCTCAGTTTTTCATTAAGACTACATGCAGTGGTGGGCTCACACAGTGTTTGTTAAATTGCCAGGTATCACATCAAGCGTGGAATTGAAGAAGCAGGAATGGAAGCAGCGGTTATATCAATTCCACTCAACATCACTACAAGTCCACATCTTTATACCAGGCAACCACCTTGGTCGTATTGGTGATACAGATTTTTTTATTTGGAAATTTTGACAGATAGTCCACTAAATATATATTTAGAAGTACAGCTGTCAGTATTTTGTGGTGCAGCTTAGATTGACATTGTATATAATATAAAGGCAAGTTTCTAAAGAAACTGTGGTGATGCACTAGCGAGGGTGTTATAAGATAGCACTAGATTCTGAAAAAAACAATGCTTTACCATGCTATTTTATCTTTCTAGTGTTAAAATGTTTTCTATAGTATGCTTTAATTGTTGGATACACAAACTTCTGTAGTTTAAGGAAGTTCAGCTTAGCATAATACCTTTTATTAGGCCATCAAAGTGTTATTTGGAGGCCTCTATTTAGTCTCCTGTCTCCCAAGTAGTGTTGATTTGTTGTCCAGAAACCTATACACATAGGATTCTACAAATGTACTATGTATGGAGTTTGCTTTTATTTATAAGACATGGAATACAAATACATCAGAGATCTGTATTGTATTATGAAAGGAGGATATTTTGGGAACTTGTTATTGGTGATAGTTTAAAAATAGCTACAGCTTTCTAAGATGTCAAATGTCAACTTTTGTGCTCTCATGGAGTTGGTTGACCTGTATTTTTGTTTTGAAATAATTGGACATTTTAGTAAGCCGAAAGAGGAGTTTTTCAATTCTGATGATATGTACCCCCAAGAAGTAGTAGTAGTAGAAATGATTATTGTGGTATGTTAAGCTGCTTTTTGCCAAAATGTAGGCCTTGTCAAATGTTATGGTCAAAGTAGATATCTTACATATGTAAGAAATAAGAGAAATGTCATGGATACTAATACAGAAGATACAAATCAGATAGGCTTATGAAATCACAATGAAGATGCTGAGCTTGTACTTAACAATTAGATAATGCAGTTAATATTTTGACCTCAGGAGCATTGATCATGTTGTGTGGTCTTCTGATTTAGGGTCCTTAGAAGAATTGTTATCAGTAGTAGTGACTGACATTTTGTCAACCTGAGCAGAGGTCATAATTAAAGATGACAAACTATTACTAATACAGCTTTTTTTATTCTGTGCAAATATTTTATTTATCCAGTATTTAGCTGGTTTGTCAGAAGTTGCAAGAGTTGTCTTTCATTTCCTACAATTTGATTGGTTTCCTTAAACAAGCCTTGAAATCTGATTGGTTGTTGTGTTTTAGTAAAGCTGTCCAATTGGTTTCATTGACTGGGAGAAAGAAAGCATAGAGGCAAATTGGTGCAATTCATGAATAAATCACCAATGAGAGCCAATCAGATTACAAGGATCAACAATGTTTTCATAATGGTGTGGAAAATAGTGCTACTTACTATATACAGTAATTTGGAGAGGACTGGATGGACACATCACTATCATTGCCCACAAAAAGTCCAGACATGCCTATTGGCACTACACATATTGGTTTACACCATCCCTTATTACAGCGGAAGGAAGAGCTCCTTCAAAGTTACTGTTATCCTTTCCATTCTGTCTTGTTCTTTCACTTGAATCAGGGTGTACCAGTCCATTAAAATCATTAATTGTTTCTGCATGTCCAAATTTTTTAGCTTTATTTTGTACCTGATGACCTTTGAGAGAATAAAGACCATACTTACACATATTTGCCTAGTAATGTAGGTAACCACTTCTACAAGAAACACCTGCATTTAATAACTATTCAAACTTGAATCATTACAAACAGCTGGTTAAAAAAATAGCCCAAATGTGGAGAATTAAGATTCTAGCATGACTTTGAGGCATGAGGAACAAAACTGCAATCTTTGTTTGTTTCTTTTGTCTTGTAACTCCAGAAGAGACTTAAGAACAAATAGAAAAATCAAACAAAAAATCTACCCAAAAGCTTGGATGCCTTGTTAGAATTGACATGCATCAAGCATGGGCTACCCAATGGAGGTTCACATAGCCAACATTCTTCATTACTTTGAAAATTGGTGATCACTCGTCAACATAGCATGGCCTGGATTTTTCAAAGGAGGTGAGAGTATCACTGTTTCAAACAGAGGGCAATCACCAGATTGTCATGTTGACCTCCACACTGTGTGTTACTTAATGTGACAGAAAAAAAAGGCTTAAAGGGTGAGGAGGTCATTAGCACCCAAGACACCACTAGCTATAACCTTCAGCAGTAGTCACAGCGCCTCTCGAGCACACAATTGCATAATTTTTTGCAATTTTTTTGACGCCTTTAGATAACTGTAATTGTACGATACGGGCTCTTCTGTTTCCGTCCTGAGACAACTCTAAGATCCCTCGAGATACTCAACCGATACTTCGAACGATACTTGCTATTGCTCGTGTAGCTCGTGTAGCCCGTGTAGCCCTAGCGTAGACCCCAGTCACCAACCTAAGGAGCTGAGAATGCTGGGAATCCAGTTACTGCTCATGCCCAGTGAAACCGGGAGAGGGCTCTTAGAATCATTGAAGTCTCCAATGGTGGAAATGAAAAGTAAAGTGGCCTAAAATTCGACTGTTTGGGACCGTTCCCAGAATTTAGGAAGAACATTCAACGATTGTCCAATGCTTTTTGCCACTGTCAGGAAAAGTTGTATCAATAGGCCCTTGCATCAGCGCAAATTCGATTCGACTCTTATTGAAGTACAGGGAAGTTGCTATGTCTCGGCATGAGGGTAAGTTTGTTTTCTCTTTTAGATTTGGAAATTGTGGCTTCCCTTCTGGAAAGCAGTTGTCCTCTTAAATTTCTTTATGTCACTGATGCCACAGTGTTTCAAGTTGTGTTTATCTCAGCCACAGTCTCTAAGAGTGGTCGTTTTCTAGAGTTGCATCCATAGTTCCGTTACGTTCACTTACACGTTCGAAAGGTGTAAATGAGCATGTTTGCTTGGGTTCTTTTCAACGCGCGGCGTCGAAACTGAGAGACCTCTCCTTTTAGTGGCAAACTATGGCACACATTAAATACAATATTCTCTCTTATACTTCTTTGTATTCGACGTGAGTAATAAACTGGTGCAGTCACTTTATGATATTACCTATACATTTAAATATTTCACTGCGTCCTAGTACATAAGTTACATAGCTGTTGCTTTAAGGTTAATTTTCATCACCTCAAGACTGCTATCCTTGTCATTTTACTGAAAATTGTACGTTGGGAATTGTGTGTAAATGTTTTATAAAAAATCAATTCCTCAGTACAACCACTTTCTGGTCAGCTAATAATCAAGAGGATACAGAGGGACTAAAATTAATTTGGTTAGTTTCTCTGTAGCTTTCCTGCCTTTTTTTTAAGAAGAATGATGCATTAGATTCAAAACTACTGGTTGAAAGGGAAAGTAGTGAGGAAGGCCAAGAGCTTATTTGTGTATGACTAATGGCAGCAAATTAATTTTAGCAAATGACTTTTTAAGGGACACTGGCAAGGCTGTGTATGTGTGGTTTTACTTGTTCTATCAGCTCAGATTTATATGTTCCTTTTTTACGAAGTATTTCTCGCCAAAATTGTTTCCAATTCTGTTGTGTATATTTCATAGGATTCTTTGGTGGCTAGGAAAGGGCAAATTACCTAACAGTTATACAATATTTATGGTTAAGAAGTTGCAAATGAACTTGACTAAAAAACTTGTTTAATTATCAGTATGAATTGCTCACTAGCTGATTCAAAAATAAGATTTTTTTCTCTGTCGAGATGTGGGTTGAAATCAGTATCCTAAGTACTACTGCTATTCTAGGTTAAAAACAAAGCAATTTTGTCTGTATGTCATATACCACAAGAGAAAGAAATTGGTCATGCATTTCATAACAATGGATTCTGTGACAGAAAAATATACAAATATCTGGGATAATGTTATAATTATGGTATTGTATTTACCAGGTAAGGCAGAGAGATTTCTTACGACTCCTTTTCTAACTCATGATTAGAATTTAGAACTTAGCTATGTTGTAAGGGTTAAACAAGTGAAATTTCCATGGAAATGTTCTGATTATCAAAATGTGGGTATTAGTTAAATACCTAGAGAAGACTGTTTTAGTTGTCAAATGGTGTAATGTCCTTTTATGCTATATTCTGTGGTTAGCTCTCTGCTTTATTCCATGAATTTATGTTCTTTCATTTTGTGAGTATTGTTTTCTCCATGACAGACCTGTGACCTGCACCCTACTGCACACATTCACTTAATCTTTGAGCTATTATAATTTAGTTCTGTGCAACGATCTAAGGAGAAATTAAGAATTGAAAATTTGGTCCAACAGTTGACAGTATACAATTTTGAATCACCAGTTCTGCAAAAAATGTATTAGCCATTTTGAAGGAATAAGAAAAAAAACTATCACCAAGAGTCAATTTCTCAACCTTTTTGCTTGCAGAGGGAAGGGCAATCCATTGGGCCAAGTAAGCAAATGTAATTTTTAGACAATGTGCTTTATGAGGACCAAGAGGTTCAAAATAGGAATTCAACTCATTGGCCTTGGTCTTTCACCCTTCATAATTCATTTTCCAAGTTCAGAGACCCACAGCCACTTTGACTTTCACAATTGTTTGCATGTGGGTACTTTTCTAAGAGTCAAGCTCAATTTCATCAGGGAAGTGGTAGTTTTGATTTTAGTTGCACAATTGTTCCCTGTATCACAGCATTCAATGACCCTTTTACTTAGAGCTATGCCTAGATTGGGTAGCTTTTTTTGCAGTCGGTAAAATGTCATGAATGTACAACTGGTTTTATGAATCACATCACCCTTGATTGCTTCTGCCTACATCACCTTTAGCTCTGCAAAATGAACCCTCTATGGGTTTGCCTTGTATCAAAGGAACCTTTTTAACTAAAAGTGGTGCTTAAGAAAGTCCACTTATCAAGAAATGAGCCTTGTTAGAGAATATTTGAGCCTCATAAGGGGATAATGGAGATCCAGTGTAAAAACAAAAGGCATTTTATAGTAGTGTACCCATTGGGTGCCTATTTTTGTTTATCTATATTTAGGATTTTAGCCAAATTAAAGGTACAATTCATTGAAGGGAAAACTAATAAGTGCTCTCCTCAATTAAGTACCCTCCTTCATGTTAGCACCCCTTTTTAGCCAAAATGTTAAATAAGGACCTGGGGTTTATTGAAGGAAACATGGTAGTTACTGTAATTATTCGATTTAGTGCCTGGGGGGCTTAGTTATGTATGCTACATCTAGGAAGGGCACCTAAAAGGGGTACAGGGTGCTTTTTCTTTTTTGGAAAAATAGCAGGTTGTGCAAAACAAATCCTTGACATTTATTTAAAAAGGAACAATATCAGAAACCATAAGAATAACAAATGTACAATGAATATTTGCAAAAAAAAATGGAAGGGAATATACTCTAGTATTTCTTTCACTTGAAAAAGATGGGGCACATTATAAAAATACAGGTGCTTGAGTGTCTTAAGGGAGTGCTCATTGGAACAAGGGTTCTTTAAATGGAAATCAAATCATTTTAGGAGATATTGGCCCAAGTTTCAATTTTTGCTTTCTTAAGCACTTTTGGCAGTGTCATCAAATGATAAGAGAACGTTTCCAAAACACCCTGAAAAGCTTCTGTGGAAGAGGTTCTTGTAGAATTTTCCTAATCAATTCAGAAGCCTAACACATTTTTCATTGATGCCAGCATCTACTGTGCTACTTAAATTGTAAGAACACTTTTCAACCAATTTGTTGAAGGAATGATCATTGACCGTGTTATTGTTTAATACTGTATGTATTTTCAGCAATGTATTGGCAAAGAATTTAACTTATGTAAAGAGTTAATAAGTTTAAACTACCTAGTTTGTTTCATGAATTTGGGTTTGGACAATTTTAGGTGACTATGTCAATTCTAACATGCCATCCAATTTTAGATGACTATGTGACAGCAAATGTTATAGTGTTGTCTTTTTCCAGTGATAACAGTTATGTAGTCTTTAGTCAATAATGAATGGCTTTTTAAAACTTTCTCAAAGGTTGCTCTTTATCTTAAATCTATTCATAAAGACTTTTGAGCTGTGGAATCATCTAGTCATGAAATAATTTGTTTGTTCTTCTTTGAGTTCATGTTGGTTCAATTTTTGTCATTGTGGTGATTACATGTAAGTACTTATCTCTCCCCTCTCAGTTTGGTTATCATGTTTTCCTGTGTCATTATAGGCATTTTCCATTTCTATATATTGAAAGTTATCAATATTCTTTTAGTCTATCACTGATCACCATCACTCTTCAAAATGTTGATGTTCTTTGAAAAACATCTGCCATGAGTTAACAAGATAACTAAGGCAGTGATGGATCCAGTCACTGTGGCTGCTATATTAAACATATAGTTACAATCTATTAAAGCAGAATCCTTAAATTCTGCCATTAGCATAGTAAATTGGGTTGTAGGCTTCCACATGAACCCAGATGGTGTCTAAACCTGAATGAGACAAAATTTTAGATTGGGACAGTTGATATTTTTAAGGAAAGGATTGGTATTTTGTACACTAAGTATTGACTGGAAATGGTGAATTTTGCCTTGCCACACATTAATTTCAAAATTTCTGGAATAAGCATACCCCAGAACCCTTAGTCTAAACTACTTGACAGTACAGCTTTAATGCCTTAATTTCCTTTTGTTTCTCGCATTATTTGTCTACCATGAAGAAATGTACTAATTTATCTTTTATTCCATTTAACAGGTGTCAGTTGTGACTCGTGTAACATAGGAAATTTCCGTGGGAGGCGATTCAAATGTTTAATTTGCTATGATTATGACCTTTGTGCAACATGTTATGAAAATGGAGCAACAACTACAAGGCACACAGCAGATCATCCAATGCAATGTATTCTTACTAGAACAGATTTTGGTAAGGATGCTGCCAGAACTTTGATTGTATACATTACACTGATTCAGGATTTTTTACCCTTTGGGTTTAACAGAGTGAAATTACTTTGTATTTCAATAGTGATTTTACCCAAATTTGTCTGCTGACTTCTTTAGTTTGGCATGACCCACATTTTTGGTCAGCCACTTTATCTCCAGTTGTTCAACCACTCTTCTTGCTTAATATGAACAGTTTTCCAAAGCATTTTTAGAATCTCAAATGAGCTTCAAATGAGCTTCAAATTTCAGAAAGTGCATCAGTGAACTTCATGTGTTCCTTGTATACGTACATACACATTTAAGTGATGCAAGTATACCTTTCAAGCATATACTCACAGATTAGGTCATTATCTATTTGGACCTTAATATTAGTTTGTAACTTAAGCTTAAGAAATGTTTTCCGTGTGGAAAGCAAATTAAACTTGTTTTCTTGATGAACAGAACTCTATTATGGAGGTGAAGCATTTACTGCAGACCAGCCACAGTCTTTTACTTGCCCTTATTGTGGTAAAATGGGTTTTACAGAGTCTGCCTTACAGGAACACGTAGCATCAGAACATAGTGATGCCTCCATTGAGGTGGTAAGTATTTGGCACATGAAGTATTTCTGGAATACTTATTAATTTTTTTAGTAGTTACACAGAAGATTGAGGCACACGAGAAAACCATATTCTAATCACTAGTGGTCCTTGCAGTGTAGTTATTTTGTATCCCATTGTCTTTCCATTAAAACAATAACGTTCAAGACCTATTTCTGGTTGTAATGGTTTCTCAAGTTTGACAGTAAATAGGAAAAGCATTGAAGAGGTGCTTAAATAGGGATTAATTTTGCATTTTCAAATTAAACATTTATTCATAATTATTAGTGGAATTTGTTCAACTCTAAACCTTAGTAATGAATTGTAGGGTGTGCTGAAATTAGAAAGGTAACAGTAGTTGTTGTTTGCTTACATTGCCCCTTGTAAGTGTACAGTGTATCAAAGATAACTTGAACCTTCTAGGAAAATTTGGAAGGCTTCTAGTGTTTGTAGATGTTGAGGTAGGGGGACTGTAAACAAATGAACAGAAGTAAAGGAAAATATAGAGCTAACTCACATGTTTCATGTTTCATGTGATGTCAAAGAAATGGCTGCTTCAAATTAAATTAAATTTGGACTTCAGTACATTTTTGTTCTGACTACAGCTTTATATGTAATCACATTCAGACAGAAACGGTTCAAATTATTTAGGGCAAACTTATATGGGTAATTCAGAATGGGTTCAAATAAGTAATTACAGTTGTAAGACAGAAATCTACCTGAAATAGATTTTCCAGTGAGTGCAAGGTTGGAGTTAATAAGTATTGAAGAGCACTGTTTTGCCACGTTTCCTTTAAAGGCTGTTCTTTTTTAAGGTTTTCCTATTGGTGTGTATTTCTTTTACAGTAAAAAAGTAAACACCATTTTTGTTGCAAAGGAAAGAGAAATCTTATTTATGCAGAGAATTGTGTTTTAATGAGTGTTGTGTTTGATGCAGGTATGTCCTGTGTGTGCTGCCTTACCAGGTGGAGACCCAAATCATGTGACCGATGACTTTGCTGCGCATTTGACACTGGAGCATAGGGCACCCAGTAGGCCTGATATTCTAATATCCTTTTAATTTGTGTTTGCTATATGTTTGCTAGTACATTCAAACAATTTTGGGTTTCTTTCTCAAGGAATTTAAGAATAGTTTTGGGGAATTTTTGTTCCTTGGTGAAACGAACTGCACCTTGAATGATCTTTAGGTGGTCTGTTGTCGTTTCGTTGGAGATGTTGGTGGGAAGGAATTGCTCAATTTATTTAGACCCACCACTCGTTGTAATGTTTATTTTGCTGAGTAAAATGGCTGTTTCATTTTGAGCAGTTAGATAATATGTATCACCTGTGTGTTCTTTAACTGACTTACTACGACGAGCCCCCACCTGTCCGGCACGTCAGACGTTTATTTCACCCAGCGGTGAGTGGTAGTCGACCGAGACCCCCAAGGCCGCGAGCAGCCAACATGCACTTTGGAGGATCAGGGAACAGTGCGCTTGCTTCGTCCTCGTCGTCCTCTTCCACCTCTGCCCGTGAAAGCATGGACCCTATAGCTGAGCTTTTGTCTCAGCTGTCGGGCGTTCGACGTGCTGCCCAACAGCCCCAGCCTCCCATGCAGTCCCAGCTTCAGTTGCTACAACAGCAGTTACAATTGGAGAGGCAGCAAGTGCAGCAGACCAGAGAGCGGCTGGAGAGACTTCCCGCTCGGCGTCAAATGGCGGCAGCTGCGGCTGCTGCAGCTGCAGCTGGTAGTAGTGTCACGGCTACGTCAACGGTTAGTGCTCAAGAAAGCAGTAGTTCGGCGTCTTCGTCATTTCTTCTCTCTAGGTAAGAGCATGGAACACATTTGTTTGTCTGTGAACTTGTTTGTATTCTGTTTAGTTTCAATCTCAAGTTAGTTTATGTTGAACACGTTTCTTCAGTCTCCCCTTACTGGCGGTCTTCCCTTTTTTCGTCCAAACAGTTTCTATTCATGTAGCATTTTAAAACTTCTAAAATGCAATGGCATTAGAGGAACTTCAGCTAAAATTTTGGAAGCGTAGCTTTTGGTTTACATTGATCAAATAAAGACAGCAGCGTGAAAGTCGGTGCCCGAAGATTCAGTTCACCCCAGCCATCAATGTTGACACTCTCGATGTTATCAATTCTTAAGGTCAAGAAATGCTACCTTCAAGACAAATTTTTAAAGCTGTACGTTTAATCTGCTTTCGCGAAATGTCATAACCTTTCTCTCTAATCAGCTGGTACATTAATTCAATTACTAGAATTCACCCACCGATGTCTTCTCTAGGAAACGATATGGGCTTGCCTAACTTTGATTCCGCCGTTAGGCGACTTCTCAGGGTCATTGCGTCCTAAATCAACCTAGAAACTAGTTAATTTCGTCTGAAGCGTTTGATACCAGAGCTGTTTCAACATATCTCATTGTATGCTAAACAAGCAATTTTTTGAGAAAGAACGAGACGAAGCATAGGTACGAGTAGGTAAACGTCCATTGAACTTTATAGCATGCGAAATGGGTTGTGAAAACCCCTTAACATAGAAATGCACAGCAGAATGCCGGGAAAGAACCGTTGACTTTTTCACGCATGCACACAATACTGTGGAGAACAAATCTGGGAAACCGTTAGTTCTCTTTGACTTTGAATTATTAAGCATCAAATCTTTAATTGGTACTTTTCAGAGCTAACGAACCGGCGCTGTCAGAATCTGAACAGGAAGCCTTGGAACGCGAGCGTGCAGACCGAAGCCTGTTTGTACAAGATCTTATTTTGTCGACGCTCGGATCAGCAGCATTTAGACGCAGGGCTCGGTCGAGGGTTTCGGTCGCCGACGCATCAAATGAATTCGCAAGATTAACCTTACAGGATAGTGAGAGGATTCAAGCGATTGGAAATGAAACGCGATCTGAGTCCCAGGACTTAAATGTTGTAGAACAAGACATTACTGTACAAGATATGGAGCTTATATCACTGGAAACAGATGAAGACGAAGACAAAGATTCCTAGCGGAGGAATCCTTACTTCGAATTGAATTTTATCCTCTGAGTAGGTGCTGAATTCATTCAGTGAAAATAATTGGCGTTTTGGCGGCCTCATAGTCCGTGAGAACCCGCTAATCCTTCACAAAGAAGACAACGAAGCGCATCGGAAGAATAAACAGCAATCTTTATCTGTACAGACGCCCATGGGGCATGTTGGTAGAGTATCAACTTACCCCTGACCAAATGCTAATCTCAGAAAGAATAGCTATGACTGCGTTCATTTTACAGTTGAGGAGATACGTAGATAGGGTTGAAAAATAAAATTTAAAATCATTTACTTAAAAATGACTACTTTGTTGGTTAGCGGTGGGTCTTCTGTACTACGTAATTTTCTGTTCATTGATCTGTTGTTGACAATCTCCAGCTTTTTCCATGCCGATGACAATATCACTAACAACATGCTATACTCCGAGGCCATTCAAGGCCAATGACAAGCAAACACCGGTAGCACGCCACGAAGTACATTGCAACAAATATCACTTACGTTCAGAAATGCACGTAGTATCGAAAATGGCATAGTTGACGAAATTTTGTCAAACCGAGTGACTGTTCATGGATTTGACGATTTTGGCCAATTTCAGTGAAATTCGTCAAAGCGAAATCAACTTAGCGGATTTAGCAATTTGAAGAATTTTCGTGACCGCCTGCATTTCTGGACAAACGCAAGTATTGCTTAGGAAAGGGAAAATTGTGTTGTATTTTTTAAGTCTCCAAAACTGTCACATCGACTTATGTTAGTAATAATAACTAAACATGATAGGCATGGTTCAGAGTTATTTTTCAGAGTTATTTTGCGGGATGAGTGGTTTGGAGCGGGACATATGCAGCTGTTGTTTACATTTTTGTTAAAAAAAAGAGGGTTAACTTTAAAAACATTCCAACGAAAATATCTCACAAGCTCTCCTTAATAGAGAGCATGAAATAACTTCAGACACGGGAATTTTGTGGTATATTATCTCTCTTGTCCCTGTTATTGGAAGCAGAAATAATCTACACGGGTGCCCTGCGCAATGCCGTTCCTCCGTCAGTGCCGAAATCAAACATTTTGAAATAGTCCTTTGCCTCAAAAATGTTGTGAAAGCAAGGCAAAAACTATTTCATCCCCCTAAAAACGCCAACCAAATACATTTTGCGGTCTCTCCTCTCTGAATGAGTGAAAATACATTGAACGAAGCAAATGGCGGCCGTATTCGAAGGGATACCCGTATCACTGGGGATCTGGGTTTCCTGTTCCCTGACACTCGACACTCCCCACCCCAGAGCTTTTTGAGTCGCCTGCAACCCACCCTTGAATCCCCCCTGTGGATGGGCTGCATGTAGGTGCTAGCATAGACGTTATGCCCATGGGCGTACAGGAAAAATTTTGTTGTGGGGGCTGAACATAATTTGCCCGAATGAAACTTGTTGGTCACAGATGCACAAGATGATTCTTTCACGACGTCAAGTTTTCTTCGCCATACCTTGAGAGCACGGGCGTTCAAAATAGTGCAAATATTTTCAGTAAATCGAGATCAACATTTCTAAAATACAAAACCAAGAAGTGAGAGATAAAGCGTACCCATTTGAGCTCTAAAAGAAGTATGAAGAACGATTACTTCGAGACCCAAATATGTCAATAATCCTTTGCATGTCATTCTGCATTGTCTTGTTCGCATACATTCTTTGAGTGTTAATAACGGCGATACTGCCAAGTCTGTCTTGTCTCATTGTGGATCTTAAAAATGTCTTGATGCGGCGAAGGGCGCTGAACAACTTTATATAGAACGGGTAAAATGCCATGGAGACCATTTTGATGCATGGTCTTTACCATCAAGGCTGCGTTTTTTCTCTGGCATGGGTCCCCGCAGTCTTAGTTTTCAAAGATTGACTTCTCACTTGATAGCATTTCACTATCCACGCCATAGAAATTTGATACAGTTTGGATGTTGTTGATGCTTGGAGAATGGCTGAATACGATTTCGCCCAATGCACACAAAACCTCCTGGTCGTTGCCCTCAAACCTTGATTGAAGTTCACTGACGACTTTGTCAATACTTGTGTACTAAACTGTGATACGAAAGTGGTCTTTTGCCGTCTGTTGTGAGCTTTCGTTCGCTGCAGCAGGTGTCTCGCCAGTAAGGCCCTGAAGTCGGCGTGATGGTCTGGTTCGAGGCACCTTGGCGTCTCCCAAGGTAAATTTCGTACCCTCGATTCCTATTCTGATTTTTTGCGCTATAACATCAGCATGTGACCACATCTGAGTAAAGCTCTCTTCATTGCGACAATTGCTCAGTGTCTTAACGACAGCATCAGCAGTCTTCTTGGCAGTGATGACATCCGTCTGTTCTCCCTGTAGATATCTACTCAAATTATCAGTGTTGGATAAGATGAGCTTCAAAACCATCAAGCCATAAACAACACAAAGTCACAAATTGAATGGAGAAGCGAATTACTTTCGTTGTAGGTCTTGGGATCGCGATCCTTTAATAAAGTGACTAGGGCTTCCATTATCCTCGGCACTTGCTCTAGCGCGGCCCTCACCGCCGCCCAGCGACAGGACCATCTAGTGGTACTCAAAGATTTTAATGTAAGCGCAACATCCTCTTCATGAACTTCAATGTCCTTGAATAACGCATGGCGCTTGGTACTCCCGTGTAAGAAATTGTAAAGACTCTGGATAATACCGAGGGCATTACGGAGAGTTTCAATTTCAGTCATGGTGTCTTAAAGAGCCAAATTTAGAAGATGACCATAACAATGTACATATATTCCGAGAGATGAACATTCCTTCGTACGCGTAGCAAGGCCCTTGCGAATCCCACTCATGTTTGCAGCGCCATCAAAGCATTCGGCAATAATGTTTTCCAACCTTAAATCCAGCTTATTTATGGCTGTTTTTGCGAGCTCGTACGGATCTTCCCCCTCCGTAGAAGCAGTGGCAAAGAAACCAACGAAATTTTCTGTTATGTCTCACCATTGATAACGTACCTAAGGCACAAGGATACCTCTTCGGTTCTACTGATGTCTGAAGTTTCATCCATGATTCCAAAGTAACCACTCTTCCTTACTTCTGTCGTGATTCTCTCAAGCACAAGGTCTGACACTATTGCAAGTAGCTCATTTTGGATGGTGGGTGATGTCCCCTGAGCATACAACTGGAGCTGCACCTGGAGTTTTGACTGCAGCCATAGCAAGTCTTTGCATCGTAAATGGAGTAATTCGAGAAAGTTTCCTCTGTTTATATCTGACACTTCCCAGATATCGTTTCGACTTTCTTCTTGGCTTCTAACAGCAATATTTTGCATAGCAGTGAAAATCAAGCACTCGATTATCACTTGTAAATATTTCCTGTTAAATTTGACCTGCTCTTTATGTGCATTGCTTAGTTGCTGCAGAACACTATTATTCTTTTCTTTCCATTGCTTTGAACTGCAGCCACTTAGTCATGCAACTTACATGATTCTCACTTTGGCTGTGTTTTGTTAACTTTGATGGCTTCTTCCAATTCTTGAAAACAAAAGATGCATCCTTTCCAAACTCTATGCAGGCAAAACATACACACACGTCTTTTACGACATCATAACTAAGCCATGGATACTTTTTATACCACTCAGGCTGGAATCGTCTAGTGCAAGACTGACTGCCGATTCCTGAGCCGGCAGTTAGGTATCGCAGCAATTGGCTGTTTGATTTATGACCAACCCGGGCCTCGCTGGTTATTTATCATTTCATATTTGGCAAGCCTTAGTAGAGCGATTGTTAATCATCATATTTATTGTCTCTTTATTCTTTTGTAGGTTGAAGGAGCAATGTTTTTTGTGAAGAAAGTTCCCATCAACAGAGGAAAACTATTTTTTTTCGAGAATGTATCGTCTTCGTTTCCATTTTGTTGAACACTGATAAGTGAATCTATAGTCGATGATTACTTTAACTCACTCATGTTCTAATTACCATTTACTTTGTTACTTGTATGACTTTTGAAAGCCAGCACAAGCTAAGAGAATAAGCGAAATGCTGACGTTAACAAGCGCTATTCCAAGAGGTTAGAAGCACCCTTTTTTAATTATATTGTTGAAGTTATAGTGTCGCGGACAACGGGTCAAGTTTGGGACGCAGCTTGTGACTTTGGGATATGTACGAAAGGCTGAAAGGAAGCTTTCACAACTTTTCATGGTGGCTCATCTTCTATCTACTTCTAAATGACGAACGCAGTCACCTAGTCACGTCCAAATCACATAATGCTCCACACGAAAGTAGTGAAAACAAGTTGTGTTCACACTAATTACAGTCGGAAATCAAACTTCCGTAGCCTTCAACTGCATAATCTATTAACGCTCGCTTATATTCGACTACTTTATACTTGAATCTAAAAATGAGCATTACCTAATTTGCCGGAAATTGCATGTCAGTTAAAGTAATCGATAGACATACAAAACTGATCTAAACTCTTTTTAAGGACTACCCTGGCCTTGAAGATCACACATTGTGACCGACTTGCCTAACCACTTTTAAACTCGATAAGCTCCAAAATTATCTTTTACAACATACGTGTTACAATAAAATGTAAACAGACAATATTGATTCTCTTTGAGTTTTATTCACTTTACAGGTAATACAAACTATACAAAAGTCCACTTTAAAGACCCAGTAAATTGAATTTCGTTTCGTGACGCTGTCAATTCTTGTAGTTCTCTTTTTTATATCCCTGCCAGGGAAATTTATTTTGTTGTAATCGGTGAAGAGCGATTTTCTCGGGTGAATGTCGCTGTGATGCCCGTAGCCGTCTTTTTTTTTCTTGTGAGGTTTTTGAATGGCTGAGTAGCTTAATGGTTTTGTGAAGTATATGTGTCTGGACATTGTCTCTACTTTTTCCGCTTTAGACCAAAAATCTTGCAATTTGATGCGATTTCCTATCGAAATACTACAGCCATTTGCATGTTTCTTCATGACTTCAGAAAAAAGTTCAAAATCTCGCATATTGAATGAAGATACCGTTGCATCATATATACTAAGAGTTACTCTTCCACCACCAGGAAAGTTCTAAAGATACGGTTGTTAGAGGCAATCTTACTTTCTTTCTGTTCGCCATCTAAGTACAAAGCAACTGCACCAGTCAGACCTGACTAGGTGACGATAGCTGCTTCAACTGTCCGATTACAGGTGTCCGATTACAGGTGTCCGATTACAGCCAACTGTCCGAGTACACTGTCCGATTACAACTGTACAGAATGATTAATGAATAAT